AGGACTCTACAGGTGTCCCTCTGGGGCATCTGTGGACTCCGTGGCCAGCACCTTCCTGCCCAGCCCGTCTCCTGACTCCACGCGCTCCTCCTTCACCACGCGCATAGGTACTAGACCCACAGCCCTGTTGGGTGAACTCTCCTCAATCTGTCCCCAGGGGTACACAGTTACGGTTGGGAATCACTGTGCTAGACTGTGTGATAAAAACACCCAGTAAATAGACAATTGGTATATTTCTAATCACATCTGATGATCTGGTGTGAACAGTGTTTTGAGATATCTGCTGCTCAATTCCCCCCCCCCCCCCCCATCATCCCAGGAGTTGCTCGCTGTCAGCCCGGCTGGCTGCTCCCTGCCTGGGCCCTGCGTGTGATTTACCCCCTGGTGGCGGTGCTGCTGGGAGCGTGCCTGGCCGTGGCCGGACTCTACGGGAGCTTCTTGTCCAGAACAGTCGTCCTCATGTGGCTTGTGTCCGCTCTCTCTGCCTTTCTGGCCTCCGCTCTGCTGCTGGAACCTCTCAAGGTGAGTTCATCCAATCAACTCTTTGGATCTTTTGGTGGATTGACTCCTGTGATTTATCTTCCTCGCTCAGGTGTGCGTGCAGGCGTTAATCCACACGGCACTGTGGAGGCCTGTGGATCCGGAGGTGGAGGAGCAGCTGGCTCAGGAGAGCACTGTGGTGAGGGCGTTCGGGGAGCCAGGGGGGAAGGTCAGACCGCCGTGTGGCTACGGGCTGCTGCAGGCCAAAGAGGAGGCCCGCAAAGTCCGAGCTCTGCGATCACTCATGAGGGTGAGAATGAAACCTAACTTTAAAATTGGCCGGCGATTTGTCTTTGCATCTTTTTGTTCATTTACTTCTGCATCTTTTCTGTAGCACTGCGTGTGCCAGCTGTTCTTCCTGTTGCTGGTGCTGATGGTGAACTACCAGGACGGCATGGAGCAGAGGCAGGGCAGGCTGCTGCACTCTGCTGTCAGACGCCGTCTCCACACAGCACCCTCGGGGGTCCCGAACCTCACCTCACTCAGAGAGTAAGGGCAACGCTCAGCCTGCTGCTGTCAAAACACTGCGCCGCACCGAATGCAGCCACACACTGTATCTGGGGGAGAAAACCTTGACCGTAGCACGCTGCTTGTTCGGCTAGACATTGTTATGATGCCGTTTTTTAAATGAGATGGTCTTCATGAGGTGTGCACACGACTTTCCCTGTCAAACATCAGGGAGAGAGGCGGTTGTGTTCATCCATTTTCTAAGTCTGATCTATATTGTTTTCTCTTGTGTGTTTATGACTAACAGGTGAAAAAAAGGTTTTGCCAGGATAATCTTTCTAAGTTTCTTAAAGACACATTTCCATCTGTGAAACAGGTGGAAAAAGGTTTTGGTAGGTAGAAAAAAAATCGTTTTTTTTTGTTAGTATGTCTGCCACAAGAAGCTGAAGTGCACACTACCCCATGTTCTAAATAGGACTTCATCTCAATGACTTGCTAACACACAATAAATGTACGTTGTGTTTAGAGTGCATTGAGAAATTAAAACACGCCTACATGAAAACAAGAATGCTTTAAAGTATCTTAGAATAGTGATCCTGGCAAAACTCTATTTTCCCAACCTGTTTCACTTAGGATTCTTTTTAAGGAACCTTTTTCTTCACATGTTCTTAAGTCCTAAACACAGTAGAGATAACTACTTAGATTTAGAAAATCGATCACCAGATTTTTTAGTTTATTACTTGCCTCTCAGGGCGTCCTTAGATCACACTAATCATGCAGTCAACTTATTTTAAATTCGGTGTCTTCAGCAAAATATATCAAGGCATAAACATGGAAAAAGAAAAAGTTGTCCTGTGCATGTCTGGGTAGGGCCTTAATTCTTAATTCAACCTATTTGACTAATGAACTACATGACTTTTTAAAGTTTAATTTCCAAAAATTAAAAATACACACAGTCTCATTATTGAGATGAAAGAGAATTGTCTGTCGAGAAAAAAACTAAAAAACTTTAAAATTGGGACTGTCCTGGTTTTTGCGCGCCGTGCACCATCAGCACAAACCCAAAGCTTTGGTCGATTCTCTCTTCATGCAGCTGGTCAGACGCAGAGCGGTGGATCAACCACACCTTGGTGACGCACCTGCACCAAAACCCGACGCTGCGCCTCATCGGATCGCCACGGCTGCAGTACGCGCATCCCCTTAATCCCATGGAAAGTGTCCTTCTGGGAAACAGCAGTGGAGCAACACACCAGCTCCTGGCTGACTTGCACATGGCAGACTGGGGCAAGAAACAGTAAGTGGATTAGTGACGGCAAGGTGACTTGCATCTCCGAGACAAGCTGAGTGCGTGATTATTAATACCTTCGCTCTTCAGATGTTGAATCCTCTGAGAGCGAGACAGGATTCAATTACTCTTTTGAAAATAATGAGGCGTGCCTCCCCATTAAAATTTGCCAAAAAGCAAAACAATACCATTTTTTTTTTCTTCTGCAAACAAATGGGGCAATAACACAATGCATAATCTACATGATTATTTGCTCATGTAGATTGCCAAACTATTTTGCATATTTTGCATGAGATACTGAATCATCTGATGAGACTGTTTTTGCGTCCTCTCAACCCTCAGTTGTAATGATGAAATGTATATTTTCAGAGACACATGGGTCATATATTGAGTTCTATATGTTACCATATTCAGTGGATTCTTCCCTCCAAGGTTTGAATCCCTTTCTCTGGACTTCACACACTACCACAGAGAGTCTGGTTTATTTGTGTGCGTGTCCATGCGGCTAGGGTGGGCTCAGACACGGGGAGTCACCCCCTTTCTCTCCATCCATCCACTCCTCATCCCTTCATCCCTCTCTGGACTGGACCTGCAGGTGCCACTTACGGTAACAAACACTGCAATCCCTTCAAATACATAAAGAATAGACATAATGCGTGATACATATTCGGAAGATTCAGCAATAATTCCGCTGTTAAAATGCACTTGCTTTATACCGCAGGTTCTCCTCCTCGTCTCTGCTCTCCTCATCTTGTTCGGAGAGCTGTGCTCCGTGGCCACTGAGCGTGCCCAGTATGTGCCTCAGTGCAGACACTGGTTCCAGCTTCTCTTGGCCTTGTTCTCCCTGGCAACGGCTATCCTGCAGTTCTGTTCTGTGTCCCAGGCCACCTGCTGTGTTTCCGAGGTAAGAAACGAAAGCAGGGAACGTTTAAGATCCGTCGCGATTACCTCCAACATTAGTGTCAGCTGAGCAGGCGCTTGTTGTATGTTAACCCCAGTTAGAGGTAACCTACATCTGACAAGCCAGTCTCGGTGCTTCGCTTGTCAAATTATCATGATGTATTCTGTATTTGTCCTACCCTGTGCCTTGCAGTTTTTTGGTGCAAAGGGCTGTCCATTTAAAATGACCAAAACAAACAAATAAAAAAAATAGATATGAAAATATTATTTTAAGACAGAGGGAAGCCTGAGCAAATAATAATAGTAATAACAAGAGTAACAAAGATAAATTGAAGCGAAACAATTTAACAGATTTGGGGCCAAATGCTACTTAAGCCCCTACATGTACATACAACCCGAACCCTTCATTCACTCAGATAGCAATAGTGAAAGAAAATTACTACTTTGGTTTAAAAAAACAAAATGGCCTATTCTACGTGTTGCTTTGATGACATTACAATGACGTGTGTGTGTCATTTAGCTTCGATCCCAACCAGACAGCTTCATCAACTTCCACAGTGCTGCCCTCCTGGCACAGCGCTGTTCCCAGTGTGCCGCCGTCCTGCTCACTCTGCTTGTTCTAAAGGTAATCGAGCGCTCTCCTTCATCATTACACATCTCTATACTGGTCCACTGGTTTCCCCACTCTATTAAATGTCTACTCATTTCCACTGCTGTGTGCTCCAGCTGCTGGGAACCTTGAGGTTCGTGCGGAGGTGGGTGATGTTCGGCAGAGTGCTGCAGAGAGCCTGGAGGGAGCTGTGGGCCCTGGCTGCCCTGCTGCTGTTGCTGCTGCTGCTGTGCATTCACCTCGGAAACACGGTACGACAAGGAGGCGTTCAGCTGAATCGAGTGTTCCTCAAGATAAAAATGTATTTGATATGTCTTTGTTTCAGCTCTTCTCCCGTTCAGTGGAGGGTTTCCTGTCAGTACGTCAGACCGGGGTCTCGGTGCTGTCCATCCTGCGTGGCCGAATGGCTCTCCAAAGACTTTGCAGGGTCCACCCACTCCTGGGCCCCATCTATGGGCTGCTACTAGTGGGGGGAAGTGTTTGGCTCTTAGCCAGACTCTGTGGAGCTGTTCTCATCCGTACATACAGGTACACAATGTATGCGCATAATATTACCAGCAGATGGTTGTGTGCATATGCAGCTCAAAATCCCTGCACTGCATTGTCAATAGTTAGATGGAACCCAAACTCCAAGTGTCCATCCGTTCCTAACATGACAAGTTCCTAATTGTACAATTGACATTTGATGAGCATGATCACATATTAAAAAACATTCAAAAAATCATGTGCAACAAGATGTTAATACTGGCTCTGGTTGGTTGTACTCAAGCACAGCGGTGCAGGCTAACATGCTCACAATGAGAAAAGCTAATATGCTGATGTTTCCTCTTAAAGGACCACTGCATAGGATTTAGTAGCATCTAGTGGTGAGGTTGCAGATTGCAACCAACTGAATACCCTTCCGCTAACAAAGCATGTCAGAGAGCTACGGTGGCCACATAAACGTCAACATGTGTGAAGCCCAATGTAAAGGAGTGGAAGTACACACATTCTATTGCAAATGTACTCGAGTACGAGGAAAAATTGTTGTGCAAGACAACTATTCTCAGAAGTACAATTAATTGAAAAGATTACTCAAATACATGTAATGTGTCACTACCAACTACAGAGCACTAGTGCAACTGCGGCTGATGGGGATGTCATTAGTTTTGCAGATATTTTGGTCACGGACCAATTGGACAACCTGATGATGGCGCTTTGTGAAATATTAAGGGATCACCAAAGGGATTAAAATTCATCCAGTGGGGGACATGAAAGTTTAAACCAAATTTCATGGAAATCCATACTCTAGTTGTGGAGACTTTTCAATCAAAACCTCAAACTCAGGGCGGCGCCAGAGGAAAATCCGATGTATTTTCATTTTAAGAATGAATGAGTGCCAACAATGAGCTAACATTTGGTCAGGTAAATGCCGCATTAAGTAGGTTTCATTGCTAACTATTGCTGTGTCCTTCAGGGCAGAGCAGGCTGAGCTGTACTGTCCAACTATTGAACCTCAGGACTATGAGATGGTGGAGTTCTTCATTAAGAGACTCAAGCTGTGGATGGGACTCACCAAAGCCAAAGAGGTAGGCTTTGCATTAGTTGTGGCGCAAACCTTCCAAAGCCGGGTCATGTTGCTGATTCCACGCACGTCTTTTTCCTTTTAAAGTTCAGGCACAGGGTGAAGTTCGAAGGTATGGACGTCCCTCCTTCCAGGTCCTCGCAGGAATCCTGTCTCTCCACCCTGTCCTCTTCCCGCTCCCCTTCCCTGTCCTCCTCCTTTTCATCCCCCCGTCCCCTGTCCTCGTCTCTCTCCACGAGGTCTGAGGACTCGTCAGTGTCCGAGGCTGGGTTCGACGTCCGGCCCTACCTGGACCGCTTGCTGCCCTGCGTCAGTGCGCTGCTGTCTCGTTTTGACCAGGTCAATCAGATAACTGAGGATGTTCACAACCTGGAAATGAAACTAGAAGAGGCTCAGACAAGGAGGAGGAAGAAGAGGTGGATCAGTAACAAGGACAAAGGTGGAGACATGTTCAGAGAACCGCAAAGGCCAAAGGAACTGGAAGGAGAAGGAAGGGAAACAGCAGAAGTGAGACGCAGGAAGACAGGTGTTTTTTACCCCAAGCCGCGAGTCTCCCTTCCATCCTCGTTCTCTTTCGCCCCCTCCACACCCCACCCCTCTGCCGCATCAGTCTGCAGGTATCCCCGCACACGTAGCACCTACTCTGAGTCTGAATCAGTGCCGTTCCAGCCTCGCACCTCCAGCAACAACCATGCTTCTGAAGCAGCCAAGCTTGCATCTGGGATCTGTGGTTTGTACCCCTCAGATTCTCCTGGATACGGCGGGTTCCCCCGCAGGAGAGCGTGGCATTCTGGGACCTCTCATTCAGCTGATGCAGCTCAGCGGATCTTCCATGCTCACGGTGGAGTTGCTCCACGGGGCAACGGAGGAGACTATTTAGCATTCACTAGCACCAGACCCAGGAGCGTGGAAGGGGTAAGACGGCATATCAGTGATGGAGTCCCCGTGAAGAGGAAGGCTTGGACTGAGCAAGACTGACATTGGGTTTATTCTGGAAGTGGACTGATCGGACTAAATATCTGTGGTGGTTTGCAGCTACAAAGCGCTGGACTGTATTTGCTGCTTCTTTGGCACTGCATAGATGGGTTCATATTGTTTGCTAGCAGGTGCCATTCAGAAAAAAGGTTAAAGGGCCTCTGATTTGTCACATGAGTATGAATTTCCCCGTCATGGGCAGAACCTCTCGGCCCATTGAAAATAGTTGAATAATGTTCTCCGTGGTTCTGAAGGAGTTTTTTCAGGTCTAGCTAAATAACCCAGAGGATGTCATCGGGGGAATCTCTGCTTGGGTTTGAAGACCACACATTTTTAAAACACCTGTTTAGGGTGTGGAGGTTAAAAGGAGATTCTAGCACGCTATACTTACACAAAGGACATATACTGAATCAATCCATCAAACTCATTTTGACTTCTGGCCTTTCATAGAGTATGAGTTCTTTCAAAATAAGTGTCTTGAGTGCGGGAATTTTTTTGTCACAAAATAATGAACTCCTATCCGAGGGTCGGCATAAGACATAATAGATGTGTAAGTCGTTTTTCAAACCCCAGCAATTATGTAGACCAAAAAGCCTGTAATGAATGTAGTGTTTGTATAAATTGAATAGTGTTCCTTACACTATTGCATACCTGTAAATGCAGTTATATGCTGTTGTATTTTTGTATCAGACTCTGGAGATATTTTACTCTCCAGACGAATAAAGACAAGTGACCGTTTGGTCTGAAAGTGGTTTCATATCTTCAAGCATTTTATTTTTTAATCGGAAAACAGTGTCCAACAGTGCTGTGTGCACGTGTGTTCGGTTTAAACGATAACACAGCTCTGTGATTATGTTATCAGCAGTAATTCGTATTATTACCTATCTAAAGGAAAAGACCTTGATTTATGAGTCAACACACGATAACGCAGCATCAAACACTGTTAGTGCTGGGGAGAATCACAAGTAGACCGACTGTGAGTGTTTGTCACTTTCAAATGAAATGACATGAAACATGTGAGCTGCTTGACTTTGCCATACACGGACAATGCACTCCAGATGTGTGCTGTTGGTTTGGTTGTATTGCTCTGTGTCACAACAAAATAAACACGAAGCAAACTAAGCAGAACAGAAAACAGATATTTATAACAAAGAATACAGATTTAATAGTAGAGAAATAGAATAAGAGTTGTGTATATGCTAAGGCAAAAGTTTAAAATAAAATAAAACAACAAAATGTGCACAATAAAAACACAATAAAACCCTAAAAACTAACAGTTTCATGTGTACTAGAGCTGTATTGTGAACAGAATTTTGCATCACTGTTTTATCAATATTTTGATCGCGTTTTCTTTTAGTGTTTAGTGCCTTCAACGGGACCACGCTTTATCCAAAAAGTGTTCCTTCCTTTAATCATATAATTGACATTGTCTTGAGGTCAACGACTACTTCTTCACTTATCACTCGTGTGTGTGCATGGCCTTATCATTGTGTGGCGGTGAAGTGCCAGTCCACCTATATAAAAGAGGACGCATGTCTGTGTGTCGGCACTCAGGTTTTGGAGTGAACAGGTGCGTAATGCTACAGGATCATAGACCTACTCTATCATCATAAAGCCATTGCAGTGTTTCAGTTTTGTATAGTTCTGTAATGTGATGGACATGAGCTTTATTCTGCTCAACTGACTTTTCGTTTTCTCACACAGCTGAGAGCAGAGCCGAGACAATGAAGTGGGCCTTTGTTATGTGTGCCATGGTGGCGCTGTCACCAAAAACACAATAAATAAATAAGCTATTGTGCTTAGAAGTAAATCTGAATTTAAGTACAGGCAGCTGGGTCAGCAGAATGTCTCAAAGAGGGATAGATAGAGGAGCTAAAAAGCTCTTTACGGGTCAATGAAAGCCTGAGAAATGTAGAGGATTTAAGCGGCTCCTTTTTGTGACACCTAGGATCCCTCTGGAGAGGAGTAAAACAGCCAGTGAGACCCTGGAGGAGCAGGGTCTTTGGGAGGAGTACAGACTCAAGTACCCGTACAACCCCGTACAATCAGAACATGGTGGGTCTGGCCCAGGCTAGATAAGTCTGAGGTCACCCATCCCAGTTAGCCTTGAAACAATCGCATGTACATCTCGGTGCTGTAGCGGAATTTACAACATGCCTGAGACTCAAACCTTTTCCTTTGTGCTATAAATAATTAAATTTCCTCACATCCAATAAAACGAGTTAAATCAAAATTCATCAGATTGGTGTTCTATTGAAATATACAACACATAGACTCTAAATCTATGTGAGCGTAAGACGGCAACCCAACGGGAACACACCCTTTGATGCTACGACGCAACATACAAAACATACATACATTACTGATTAACTCCATGTAATTGAGTTTTATTGTTCTCCAACCTGTGCAGGCACAATAAATCACAGTAATAACTTAAAGCAGGCCACAAGTCGTAATTATGGAATGCTGCTAACTAAGTGCAGAAGGTATACTGAAAAATATGATGCTGAAATATCGATGCCCCTGAATTAAAAAGAGAGCCTATTACTGCAAGAAACTGGTGCATTGTGGGTGCTTTGTAGCTATAAATTAAGGGAAATAAAATGACTGCTGGATCAATTTACAATGCTTGTATGTTTTGCTCATGCTGAAACACAACGATGCTGACACACACCGTGTATCCTACTATATTGTAGGCTCTACATACTGAACATCTCAGAGAAGCTGCACTGAATGTCACACACATGCAATTACCGTGTATCACCACAGGCGCCACCAGAGAGAACGAAACCGAGATCTTCAGGATTGTAACTTGAATTGCCTGGTGATGGTATGAGGAAGCATCTGAAGAACTATTTCATCCACAAGATCAAGTCTATTTTTAGATATCCTCGTACAATGTGCTTCCTGGTGACACAAACTTGTCGGACTACACTTTATACACCCTTTTCTCTCACCACAGTGCTAGAAAGGCAGTAACTTCAATACTGCAGCCTCCCAATGAGCAGCAATTTATGACAACATCAGCTCTTCGTATATTCCTGCACTTCAGAATCTGAGGTAATAAAGGGGTCGAGGAAGGCTGGGAATCACCTCGGCAAAGTAAGTTGTATTTTTCTGAACTCTTGACCTCTATGTATGTGTTTTAATTCATGGCAATTTATTCATTATTAGCCAGAAACTGCTGTATTAGTCAGAGATTGACGGTTGAGTTGTCTTTTTTGTAGAATTTGACAGGACAATGTTTGCGAAAAAAGCCAAACAAGAAGTGACAAGCTACTGTGACTGGATGTCGCAACTACCACCCGAACTCCACAACATTCCTCTCTTTGATCTAACCATACCAGGTATGAGCTGCTCACATTGCTAAAGCATTCAGCCAATACACAGCAGTTCAACTTCTGACAGTGTATGTACATTAAAAAGGACATATGCCGCTGTCATTTGAAAAACATCTCCATAATGTATTTTTATGAGCTATAAAAAAAAAAAAGCCTTTTTCAACTTTCTGACAATACAGTATTCAGATTTGTCAATGGGTTTTTAAATGCTGAAAAAGATTTGATAGAAATGGAGGTGTATGGACAGCGATGATTGGTGGTTTATTGAAACTGTGACATTGCTATGACACCTGTGTGTGTGTGTGTGTGTGTGTGTGTGTGTGTGTGTGTGTGTGTGT